CAGATCCATTCGCACGTACATGGAGGATCACGACATCAGATACTTGCGAGCATTCGCAGGAGGTGCATCGTCGTGAGCGCCACTGTCCACTGCACCCAGGGGTGAGGTGTAGGACGTGTTGGATGAGATGGAGGAGCGCAAGATGGGAGGAGAGGGGCGTGATGGTGAGAGTACCGCCGGGGGGGTGGACTTACCAGGGGAGGAGGTCGTGATGATGTCACGCGGGTTGGGCGGTGGCCGTGGTCCGTCACGGGTGGATGCTTGGAGGGAGACGGGGAAGAGGAAGATGGGGGAGGCCGAGGAGGCTGCGACTAGACCGGGGAAAAGGGTCCACCAAAGCACGATGGATGAGGTCTATGACGTGGAGAAGCAGATGGTGTTTTGCGACAAGTTCCTGTAGTGGGTGTACGACGCATGTATTTCTTTCAACGCCTTCAGGAGACAGTTGTGGAGTATTGAAGGCAGCGTTAGAGTTGCCTAGAGGAGTGCGGCCGCAATTTCCTCCCTTCAAGAAAATCGACGGAGATGGAGTTCCTTCTTAGAGGACGAAGGTGGCGGCTATGCTACGGGAGGTTCGAGAGGCCTTTAGTCACAGCAGCGCCACCATCTTGTCGGATGGTAGGAAGTCGCGTGATGCACGGTTGATCGTGAACTTCCTTGCCGCGGGTGTAAATGGCGCCCTGCTGTGTGCCACCATCTGTCGCCACGGGTCTGTCCCTTAGAAGGCCTCCATTATCTTTCGCAGGTGGAAGACCATCACCGAGTCCTTCACTGCGAAGGACGTCATAGCATTTTGCACGGAGTCCGCTAGTAATTACGCAGCGGCGTCTTGTTTGGTTGCCATGGACCCTGATCCGCACGTGAGGCACATCACTTGACTCCCCTGCTCGACCCATGTCTGCAACTTGATGTTGTCAAACATTAGGACACGAGTGGGGTGGGCTAACGACACCATCATCCGTGCTCAAGCGATGGTGCGATTAATCAAATCACACGTTGCGACTCTCTCCCTTTACAGGAAGAAGAGACCTCGGTCACCTCGCATTGTGCTCGTTCAGCCAGTCGAGACCCGCTTCGCTTCAATTTTCCTGATGCTGACTTGTATCGTTGGGAGACGCGACGCGCTGGAGGCGATGTTCCATGATGACGCTTGGGCGAGCATTCCGTGCAAGCGGAGGCTGCTGCCCCAGACGAAGCGGATGCGTCTCTACTACAACATATCAGAGTGCATCTACAAGATACGCTCCAGGTACCGATAGTGTTTGTGGTGCAATAGCGATGCACACGACACCTCGAATTGCCCCACGACGGCCAAGGGGAAATCCCGTTCGGGAAAGTGAGCATCACCGAGAGTGATATGGTTGCAATCACGACGCCTTCGAAATCGATTGCTGCGTGAGCAATTGCCCTTCATTCTGAGGCACATGAGGAGGCCGTCTTCAAGTGGTTCTTTGAGGGATTCGACATACGAGTTCAACATAGAGGTCTTGGACCGTTATCGCTGGAGGATTTTGCATGGCTTCCTTTCCCTTCCACGGATCGCTTACTGGGACCACAATGCGTAACACGATGCACCCATTTGTACACGTAGCTGCCCTTCTATGCACCATCAACTTCGTCGATAGATGACGAAGTCGCGGTGGGGGTATATCACCAAGGTGACCCGCGAGTTTCGTTCGCAGCGGTACGACGACAACGACGCACTGCTTCTTTTTGTTAGCATCCAAGTTAGGCAAGCGTCCTGTAGCGCTTTGCTGGGTAGCGGCATGACTCTCAATTTCATGAGCCAGTCCTTTATACAAAGGGTCGGCCTTGACGTACAAGTTCGAAGGAAGCCACATCCTATGACGGTCAGGATGGCGGACGGTCGGACGCAACAACGTTTTTATCGCTACATCGAGGTCGTGCTGGTTTATTTCGCACCACATGGATGTGAGTTGGTCACGTATGACATCTAGGACACAGACTTCAACATCATTTTGGGGATGTGCAGGGTTCCTTTTTGGCCCTCTAAAACGCCTTGCTATCCGCGGAGGTTTTACACATCTATGACCCGCTTTTGTGGACTCGTGTCACTACCGATGTGTCCGGCTATGGCATTGGTGCCGTCCTCGAGAAACACAATGGCGTGGATTGGCACCCGGTCGAGTACTTAAGCAAGAATGTGCCTGCCATGCACTCGATTGATGATGCATGAAAGAAGGAGTTGTTGGCCTTCGTACACACGCTTAAGCGGTGGCGGCATTCTCTTCTCGGTCGAAGCCAATTCTGATGGGAACGGATAACAATCCATTGGTCTTCTACAAGACCCAAGACACAGTCAATCTTCTTCCCCGATCACATCCCGAGAAAGTCAAACCATTTTGCGGATGCTCTTTCACGGCGCCCGGACCTTTGTACCACGTCTACTGGACATTCGAGATTGACAATGACTTGCAGGCCAACTTCATCCGCAGCTATCAAGTCGACGCCAAGTTTCACGACAAATACACGAATTGCTCCTCTCCAAATCCGGTGCCATCGCATTATCGGATCCAAGAGGGCTATTTGCTAGTCCACTCGTGGGGAAGGATCTTCTTTGCATGCCAAGTGACCCACACTTGTGTACGCAGCTTCTTGGCGAGTTCCACGACGTTCCCACCACCGGACACTTTGGAGTCAATCGTACGATTGGCCGACTTCGCGAGCGCTTTTGGTGGCCCGTCCTTCTCCTCTCTCTCTCTCTCTCTCTCTCTCTCTCTCTCTCTCTCTCTCTCTCTCTCTCTCTTTTTCTTTTTTTTTAATGGTATATTTGCTTGATGGCATCTGTTCTGCAGTCCATCTTGGCTTAGATTTTATTTATTTATAAATAAATACATATACAACGCTCATGTATATGTTGTAGAAAAAATCAGAAGTACATAAAATGATCTATGTATTCTTTTAACCCGAACTAAGTAGATAAAATCCGAATTTATCTATTTCGGATAAAATCCAAACTTCCAAAGATTCGTATTTTATGCACACGTTCATGTGTGCTNTCTCTCTCTCTCTCTCTCTCTCTCTCTCTCTCTCTCTGGGTGCCCTAGCAAAGGTTGCTAGGTTGTCCAATGGTCCGTGAGGGGCTTACCTCCCCACCGAATACGCCGGACTGGTCAAGTTTATGAACCTGGGTATGTGAAATGTCGGAAGGATCTGTTTCCCGACGGATTCACACTTGCCTTGGGTAGTATTTGCACTTAAATCGTAATCTATCTGTGTTAGGATTATAACTGTGTCCCTTCTTTTCACTTTTTCATATTTTTACTTTTCATTTTCATTTTCTTTTCCCTGTTTTTCCTTCTCTTATTTACCTTTTTTATTTTATTTTTGCAGAAGGAATTACGGTCTGTTCACAGTCAGACATTTCTCGAACAATCCTTCTGTTTTTTGAGTTGTGAAGTTTACTAAAAAGTAGGGAGTGCAGTTTTTTGCGACGGCTGACATGTTGTATCTCTATTTTAGACTACAGTATGAGAATTAGCAGCGGTTTATTCCACTCGTTGGAACAGTCGCGGCTCATGACCGCCGGTGGAATGCAGAGACAAGCTGATCGTTCGAACCCAACTGATGGCGATGGTAGTACAAGGTCCCCAAAAAACGTAGCAGCGTGTTGATCGGAGGAAAATGGCTTTCCGGGTATGGGATTCCGTGACGATCCGGGCAACGGAACTGAGTGGCTCAGGAAGGGTGTGTACTGTGATTAGGAGTGGAGCAGAGAAAAAGGAGAAGAAGATGGGTAGTTCGATGGCTGCTTGAGAATCTGGGGCACTGGGGATTTGAATGGAGATTGGGAACGTGTCTACTTCCACGTACAGTATTCATGATAATCAAGGGATCACGATCTGGGGAGGATGGTCGGCGCCAGGGGATCGATTTTTGCCCCATAGGGAGGATAGAATACTTCCACTGATAAGCAGTAGAGTGACAAGGATGCTTAAGGTAGGAGCTCCTGGGGATAACTAGGAAGGGCGGCAGTAGTGGGACATCTCAACTTTGAAGGTTTTTGCGGTGATGGTGAAAAGCCCCCTGATGAGTCTGCTGCGTACACCAGCAGCGAAACCCGTAGGGGCAACGAGTACCGAGTGTATCTTTGATCTTAAGTTAGGTTTGCCGAGGTTGAGACAAGTGGTGTGTTCTGCAAGTGCGAACCGTGTGCTTCTCCGTCTCTCTCTCTCTCTCTCTCTCTCTCTCTCTCTCTCTCTCTCTCTCTCTCTCTCTCTCTCTCTCCATCTGGATCTCTGTGCCTCTCTCTCCCTCTCTCTCTTCTTGCTATCTGTGTCTTTCTCTCTCTCTCTCTCTCTCTTGCTGCCTTTTTTTTAATCTGAACTTTTTGTCATGATGGTTAGAATAAGCTCAACCTCCGTTAAGGTCTGGGCCGAATTTTGTGGGTAGGGAAAAAAGCAAAAGAAGAAAAAGAAAAGAAAAAGAAAAAAGAAAAAAAAGAGAAGTGAAGGAAAAAGGAGTAGAAATAAAACTGTGGATCTTTCTTATTAGAGAGTCAGAGGTCTTGTGGTAACCAGCGACAGCATGTGAGTTGCAAATATCATTCAAATGTGGGCTTAAAGAAGTATTAAAATTAATCAATAAATATCATTGAAATGTGGGCTTAAAGAAGTATTAAAATTAATCAATAAACTCCGACAAAACAGTTTGTCACAGCCCCTCGTTTGTTGTCCTCTTCCCCTCTCTGCCTATGCTTTACCGGGCAGCTCTGTATGACTATATATATCTGTTAATTTCTGTTTGACTATATATATATATTCAAAACTTAAAAGTTCTTATAAGCTTATCCCTAAGTGATGTTCATTCCTAGTGCTGCTAGTAATGCCCTAAGGTTCTTATACATCTTAGCTAAGTATGTGCTTGTGCCTGTGCCCACAGTCAATTTCAGAGTGGAACAAAAGCAAAAACAAAAACAAAACAAAAAAAAAGAGTGGCGAAAGCGTCTCGACTATTAGCAGGTCTATGTTGAAGTGCCCCCCCCCCCCTGCTGATGATAAAAATGACTTAGTTCAAATGATGAGCTGCAAAGTATTGCGTAGTAGTACTATGTGCTACCGACATTGCTCTGCTCTGCGGTTCCTGATATGCCGAGCTGCAAAGTGCGGCATACTACGTACTACCTGCGGCGCAGTCCTGCTCATGAAGTTGAACCTGCCAAGCTGAAGCCGCAAACTATCGCATACCGTGTACTCTGCCTGCAGTGCACTGCTGATAATGCTGATGATACGATGGACTTAGTTCGAATGACGAAATGCGAAGTACTGCGTAGTATTATTATGTGCTACCTACACTGCACTGCCGGGAGTATGCCAAGCTGCAAATTGCAAATTATGGCGTACAATGTACTACCTGCCATGCACTGCTGCTGCGTAGTATTATTATGTGTGACCTACACTGCACTGCTGGGATTACGCCAAGCTGCAAAGTACGATGTACTATGTACTATGCCAAGCTGCAAAGTACGGCGTACTGTGTACTATCTGTACGCCAAGCTGCAAAGCTCAGTGTACTATGTACTATGCCAAGCTGCAAAGTACAGCGTGCTGTGTACTACCTGTACGCCAAGCTGCAAAGTACGGTGTACTATATACTATGCCAAGCTGCAAACTACGGCGTATTGTGTACTACCTGTGGTGCACTGCTGCTGCATAGTATTATTATGTGGGACCTACTCGGCACTGCTGGGAGTACGCCAAGCTGCAAAACACGGCGTACTATGTACTACCTGTGCTGCACTGCTGCCCATAAACTTGACTGTGCTGAGCTGCTTACAAGCCTGTTGATATCTTACGAGCCCGCTGAGCCAGTTTACGAGCATGCGGATCCATCTCCTGAGCCTGCTTAGCCAGCTTACGAGCCTGCTGAGCCCTTTTCTCTCTCAGCCATCTTCTGAGCCTGCCGAGCCATCTTCTGAGTCTGCGGAGCCATCTTATGAGTGTGCTAAGCCATCTTCTGAGCCTGCCAAGCCATCGTACGAGCCTGCCGAGCCTGCCGGGCCTGCCGAGCCTGCCGAGCCTGCCGGGCCTGCTGAGCCTGCTGAGCCTGCCGAGCCTGCCGAGCCTTCTTACAAGTCTGCTAAGCCATCTTCTGAGCCTGCTGAGCCATTTTATGAGCCTGCGGAGCCATTTTACGAGCCTGCTGAGCCATTGTACGAGTCTGCTGAGCATCTCCTGAGCCTGCCGAGCAATCTTCTGAGCCTGCCGAGCGATCTTCTGAGTCTGCTGAGCTATCTTACGAACCCGCTGAGCTAGATGGCAGTGGGCTGCTGCTGGTAGTGCATGATCAATCCACGTACGATGCACTTATGAGCCTTCTGGGCCAGATCGTAGTCAACTGTTCATGAATCTTTCTCGTGCGATGCAGGTAGATGTGCTAAGAAATTCTTTCAGCAACGATAGTAGTCCCCCGAGGCTAGCTGCCAGTTCAGAGGTGTGTCGTGAGCCTTAGGGTTGGAACTCTCGTTCGGCCCGACTACCTCTATTGTTTGCTCGCCCAGTAATTTCACTACTCCACTGTGCCGAGCGACAAATATTCTGCTCCGGACTTGACAAGGGACCATGAAGCCTGAACGATGAACAGTTAGGGCACTTACCATTCATTTAGCTGATTGGACAAATGTGCTTTGTGTTCATCCAACGGACGGTAATCACCGTTCATGCGTCCCGCGGAATGAACAAGGACCTGGTTGTGTCCTTGTGCATTCAGTCAAATGAACAGTGCAGTGCCTGAACATCGATCGGGTCCTTGTTCGTTCAGCTGAATGGATAACAAGTTCTTGAAGGCCTGACTCGAGTGAGTCTAGACGACAGTAAAAAGAGTCCTCCTGCAGGCTGCAGGTACAGTCCAGTCCAGTTTATGGGCGGGTGAGTGGGTGGGGTGGGGTGGGGTGGGGTGGGGCGGGGTGTATATGGGGAAGACCAGGGAGGTAGAGGTAATCAGGTCTGAAAGCCTTGGGTAAATGCAGATCATCGATAACCATCCAAAACCCGTTGTCGACTGGAAAGCAGGACTCATAATGCTTCATTCCTGAAGCACAGCAGTTGTTCTGTCTGGTGCACAGTGCTTCATTCCTGAATTATTGGTAGTCCGCTGTCCAGTGTGAAATCCTAACTGGTAGTCAACCTGAAACTTGAACTGGAGCCCATAGGTAACTAGGAACTTGAACTGGGACTAGTATTCAACCAACTGGAACTGGAACTGGGACCAGTATTCAACCAACTGGAACTGGGACCAGTATTCAACCAACTGGAACTGGGACCAGTATTCAACCAA